CGACGTGCAAGCTCGCTAGCTCCACTGAATGTTCTTCCACATGAAACGCATTGGTTTTGAGTGAGCCGAAAGTGTATGATAGATGATCTACATAGAACGGTAGCAATGAGCTCGGTGAAAACTCTGATTTTGTACATTCATAAATATTTTCGACGCCCATAGAGCAGAGGCAAACCCATAGAAATCTCGACTCTGATGAACGCAATTTCTTGTTTGACTCGGAGGGATTTAGGCTTGTGTCAAAATGAGATCGGTCCGTTGCAAATCCACTTATGGACAATGAATCCGGAGAATCAAGCCCCGTAAAAACTTGGTAGATCTAACCACGAGGATGCTGCGTGGATCCCTATCACCCAGTAATAAAAGTGAATGCGAGTGTCATAACAAGTTGTAGACCTTACATCATAAGTGAAGGTTTTCAGGCGTTTTAGGCCCGGGCGAGTTCCTCTTCGAAGAAGATGTAGGAGTCCGGCACTAGATATAGTAAGGTCGTCCTAGTTTCGCCAGCATGCAAGACACTGTTACAGAACTTTGCATTTGGTGGTTATACGCCCAGAGTGAAAACAAACGTTAGCACAATTGTTACATTGGACATACATAATGCATATCTGCATCGTAGATGTGATGTTACAATCCTTCTCCTTTGACCCGCGTATCTCATGGGATAAGTCATCGTCATTAATGAGACGAACATACTCCTCCGCGCCTCGTCGTTCACCCTCTCGATCGAATTTACGCGGTTCCACCTCCTCCATCTTGGAGAGACAAGGCGGCAATCCTCGCTTCTTCAGCAGCAAGATCCTCATCTTCCTTCTCCTTCCTGTATTTGGCCAAATCCCAGTCTTCTTCACCGTCGTCGTCCGAATCCTCGAACCATTCTGGGTTATATTGGAACTAGGCATAGCCGTTAGAAAAGGGTCCAGAAAAAGGAACCAAGAAAGACGACGTACGAGATCTCTTCCACTCATACCACTGTTCTTACCAGCAGCATGCGCCTGATCCTTAGCTTTGCGCAGGGCCTCGTCCTCTGCTTGCTTCTTGTCCATACGAGTTTTCTTCCATTGAGCGAATGTCTCGGGGGTGACTGGTGTGAGATTTGAGCCGAGCTTGTGTCTCTGTACCCCGGGAATAGGTTAGTCGGTGCTGAGAAAATGGATAATACACGACGTACCTCGACTTCCAGGAACTCTTCAATACTGATCACATTGGCTTTTTCAGCCTCCTCTTTGGCCTTCCTCTCCGATTTGAGGACGAAGCCGGGCGGTAGAGCATGTCGGTACTGACAATTGTCGCCGTTTGGACACTGCCAGAACCAGCCGTACCTATAGACAGAATTGAGGACTGGGACACAAGAGAAGGTGAACGTAGCGTACTTTTGAGTCTCGATAGCCTGAATAAAGTATTTGCAGACAATCTAGAAAAGCCAGCGATGAGACTCGTGCGCATCGAAACGAAAGAGCTGCACTAACATCCGTTGTCGTCCGAGGGTTTCCAGCTTTCGAGAGCACAACGTTCCTCAACTTCTCGTCGTCCCATTTATCCATCGTGTCTGCCAACACCATCGTTAGAGCCCGAGTAAAAAAAAAACAAAAGTAGACGCACCAGCCATCTTATCCTCCCTACTATCCTCATACAAGTTCTTCTTCTCCACCTTTCTCCCCACATCCATATCATGACTAAACTTGCACTTGCTTCCCTTCTCACATTGACCAGCCTTGAAATACGCACAGAGCACAGTTTTTGGATCCACTCCAAACGGCACTTTTTGTGTGATGACGGGTTTTAACAACGCAGCTTCTTCCTTTTTTCGCTTTTCTTCCTCCGCCTCTGCCTTTTTCCGAAGATCTCTCTCCTTTTCCTTCTCTAATGCTGCTCGAGATTTTCCGGCGTTTGCTGTTTGAGCTTGGATTCGTTGGACTTCTTTCTGGACCTTGGCGGATTTGTTTTTCTATAGACAGGCAAGCGTGCAGATGAGCTCGGGGACTAAGTAGACTTGCAGAAGAGGCTTAAGACGAACATTTTTCATTCCAAAGGTCTACATAATAACGGAGATGCTAGGTCAGCGTCAACCACACAACTAGCGATGGCAACGTGGACTGGGTCAAGTACCTTGTCTTCCTTCACTTTGGAAGAGCTAGCATTCTGCTGCTTCTTTGGAGGCATCTTGAGAGGTTTGAGGTACTAGGAGGTCGTAGAGAGAGTAGAACAACAATGGCAGTCAACGTTCGGCGACGTTGACGGTGATGGTGAGCAAGGAAAATTGTGTGGCTGTGTGAAATCGACGTCACTCAGTCCAGTCTGAGTACCGTCGCAAAAAGCTAGTAGGAAACGTAGACAATTGCCTTGGAGGATAGATTTATTGTATACAAGTTACTTTACACTTCTTTCCGCTTGCAAATCTGTAAACTCAACTCAACCAATCGTCCATCTTATTCCAGACCGTATTCTGCTCCTCCGTCCATTCATCCCTCTTGTCCTTTACGCAGTCCTCGCATATACCCTCCTTGACCCAATCGACGCTCTTAAGCATCTCCAGCGACTCGATTGGGTGACAAAGCCCACTATCTGCCAGTACCGGCGTAATAACAAACTGCATCCATCTGTCGGCAATCACATCCGTGCAAGCCATGTGCGAAGTCGGAGGCGGGGTAAAGATGACGGGCGTGAAGTAGGTTGCGAGGTTCTCCATCAAGGTGTTCCCTCGAGAAGTGACCTTTTTCGCGAATTCCTTGGGAATATGGGTAGGAAACGAGTCTAAACCAGAATGTGCGACGAGGTGATACAGAAGCGGTTTGATAGCCTGTTGCGGGTCGGTCTTAGCAGCCTGGCGGAAAGGAGACTGAGAACGTACATTTGGAATATTGTGTTGTATCGCAAGGGCTGTAGCCTCCTGAGCGTAATCGCACTGGAATACCGCGACCTGGTGCGCGTCTTTGGGAAGCAACGAGACGAAACAAGTCTTTGCTTGTTCATGAAGCTCCGGAAAGTCAAGCTGGTCCGAGCTGGATATCCGTATAAGCGATGCTATCCTTTGGAAGTCATTTTCTGTGGAAGAAAGAGTACTGGGTCATTTGTGGATAGCGAGGAACAATGAATAGCCAAATCAATGCTTACTGGTTTCCATAAATATGGTCTAGCAAGACCACGAGATCCTTTCCATCTACGACGAGATCTCCATCCAGGACAACGTACTTGCAAGATGAGAATTCGGGCTCCAAGTCTGCTTGCTTGGGATAGTCGCCTGTGGGCCGCGGTTCCAGTCGAGACATTATAGTAGGCGAGTACGCAGTCAGTCGAGATGGATGGATCTTGAAGAGTACATCGTGTTCATTTTCATTAGTTTTTGGGTGTATAATCGTGTCGGCGTCACTGAACCAATATACTGGATGTTTCTGTAGCATTTTTCTGCGGAGACCAGATGACAGACGAGACCCAGGTGAGTTTACGATACAGAAAGTTTATGCCGGCGGCAAAGTCTGTTCTTTAAGTTGGCGTCGCACGCAGAATAACCAGCGCTGGTATACAGTACATTCGGAGCAATATTGTAAAGAGGTCATATATCCTCACAGTTGGCTTCGGTGCGTATTTGAAATCTTTCTGGTTCTATATATTGCTCGCCTTGAACCAGGACTGTCGCGGCGCGAGGCTCACATGTACAGCGAGTGCTAGATTTTCTTCCAGAATTCCCCGGTCTTGTCCTTAGAGACTGTCATTAGGAAAAGTGAGCCCCAACACCACAAACCACAAGTTTCTGAAAGTTCCTCGACTGCTTGCAAGCTGTTCATCAACATCGCGTCTCTCATATTGCGATGTGATTCAGTATCTTCATTCCTCGCTTTTTGCATCCTCGATCATTTGATCTTGTCGAACTTGAAGATTCTCGATATCTCTGTGCCTGCGCCGTCAGTTTCTCTCGATTCCCGTACAAGTTTTTTGCATAACCTTGAGCAGTTCATGTTGCATTCGAAATTCAATCTCATCGAGCTATGTTTGGACAACTTGAATCCGTTGGACACTGAAGTTCTTTCGCTGCTTAGACTGTTGCCAACCATTGTCAATCTTTCTATCGGCTAATCCATGTACAGTCGCATATAAAACAACAAGGGCAACCATCTAATGCAGTCATCACTAGAAACTTTCTCATCTAGAGTCTCACGATCTCGTTGCATGTCGGAGTCGGTTCGGGAGGAATTCCTGAGTGATATTTTGGAATTGATGCAATCTGCGTCGTTACAGCGTTTTCGGGAAACCTTGTCCCAAGCGAAATTTTCGTGATGCAAACAATGAAATTCCAGGAACGGAAAAGCCCTGCCAAAAAGCACTAAGCGAGCTTGATTTACTGTTTTAGTGATCACCGCAACTGGCCTCTCTTATCCCTACAGCACTTTCTGGACAGCCCAGATGCCTGAAAATGGTCTCAGGTAGCCACCTCTCCCCCCAAACCTCTTACGCCATGGCCGGAAGTGTGTATACATGGACTAAGTCGTCGTTCTGTTTTGGGAAATTATTTTGATGTGCATCACGGAAAAACTCGGTTGGGACGCTGTAAAATCAAGGCAAAGCCAAACGATTGTTGAATTAAACGACCTTTGTGAACAGTATAGATGTCGGCTCCAGAACTCCGAAAGCAAACCTGAAAACTATGTGTATTGTGGGGGATGGCATTTTTGGCGTGTCGAGGCCGAAGCGCTTTTCTTACATCTTCAATTTCAGAGGACTCGGGAAGTATGGATTGCCTGTTTGACCAGAATTAAGTATCAACTAACTGTAATTACATTTGATGTACACAGGGACCATTTTTCGTGTAGCTTGCCACCATGTACTATTGAACTGAGCATAACTTAAGTCAAGGGCTGACCGCGGACCCTACTAATCCAACCGTGTCTATTGATTTGGGTAGAGGTTAGACCTATAACGGGAACTTCTTGATGCGCAGCGGAGCTCGGCAAGCCAATCACGAAGCACTGACTCGAAAACAAAAATAACGAAACGCCTTTGAAGGGCCTGACCGGGAATTGAACCCGGGACCTCTCCCAAATGTAAGCCATGCGACTCGGGCGAACCCGAAGGGAGAATCATGCTACTAGACCATCAGGCCACATCGCCTAGATACATAAAAACCGGTACGGCGAGTATAGGAAGTTGAACAGATCAAAAATGTTGATTTCAATTCTATTCTAAAGGCGGCAGTGGTGTAGATATAATTACGCCTAGTGGACGCTTATTCTCACTTGGGGTATCTGATTTTGAGTACAGGAAAGTGGCGTCAGGGCGATGGCTACATAAATCTGCGACTGTGATGAAGGGAAATGTTTTAATGAAGTAGATCACACAATCTGTTAGCATGCGTCAGTGTGCAGTACTTTTAACGATCCACCACAACTCATTGTGGAACCATCAAGTTGGTTGATTTTAAAGTGGGTCACTGATCATAGGAAATCCCAATGCCACACCCCTGTAAATCAACGGGATGGGAATATGATGAGGTCTCTACTAGTATACTGTATGATCTACCTGGATCTTCTAGTAGTACCTGTATGAACTTTGGCTTCGAACAGAAGTTCCTGGACTTGGAACTCTAGCATTTGCCGACTCGGATGCAGTTGGATCACTATAGTTGACTATAGTTGACAATTACTGCTTAGCGCTAAGCCACTATTCCATTGAGTATAGTAGAAGCATATTGCGATCACATACATAAATGAAAGATTCAATCATGGTACTGAATGTTCCCACTCTTTCAATAAGTACATCAAGCCACTGGCACTGCTCAACTTGAACTACTTGTTTGAAGGGGAGTGCTCAATTCGAGCTTTCTTTAGACTGGAAGTGCAGATAACGTTGATAGAGCTTTAGCTGACAAGGCGGATGAGAATTGTATGTGGCGAGCCAGTGGTTTCGAGGGTGAATGCCAATAACAAACTTCACTAACAATGGGTGCCTGCTACCAGACTAATAAGGAAAGATTTACAAAGAAAAATATATTTGTTGAAACATGACCAAGCTCAACTCTGATTTCAGACCTTAAAGCTGAAGGGAATCATTTATAGGTCACAACAGAATTAAGATTAAGTACATTTATTGATTATCTAGGTTTCTTCAAGTTTGAACTAGTAAATGAGTAGTTTCTTGAAATTTATTGCATAATGAGCTGAAGAAGAACCATTGATACTACTAGCTAGGGGATGGGCTGTTGCTGGTAGCTCCGGTCACGATGAACATCAACTATCAAGCCAAAAAAGATTTTCGATATTTAATTTTGCAATGGGCAAATACAACATCACAAAATAAAGCCATAATTTTACTAAAGATATGAAGTATTAAAAAAAGAAATTCTCAGAAACTGTCCAGAAAACTGTCTATATATTTATATTATCTGGGAGTAAGGAAGATAATCTAAGGATTTGGAAGTAAAGTGAAACACTTTTGAACAAATAGAAAAATGAAATGAGCATCGGTTGGCAGATTGTCTTACCAGTTAAAATATATAAAATTGAAAGGGTGTCAATAGGCCGTATCTGCTACACGGATATTTGAATGCTCTACAATGAAAATTGGCAGCGGAACTAATGATAAATGGGTGGAGACACAATGGAACATGGATTTGAGACTTCGTGCGACTGCGGCCAGTGCCATGACTGTGATGCATGGGGCATCAAAACTGTTCGCGTTATATTTTTCGGCATCAACCCTGATTTTCCAGTCAGCAGTGCCCCATCGACTAGCCAGAGCCCTGATGAACAAGAGCTTTCAATGAGGACAGGTTGAGGGTGTTTAGGGGCTCAGATGCTCATGTCACAGTGACGGTGGCACGTTGTTCCACTTGAAGATCTTTGGTATGGAGCTTAATGAAGATTGGATCCTCTCTTAGTGAAAAACAAACACCAAAAATCCGCAGATACCGTCTAATGATAAAAATATTTATATTCTGAAGCACTATTTTAACTCCTTTGGGAAATTGCTATCCTCGTATCTTACCGTGTAAAGCAGCAGCACCTTCCCCGAGCTGGATCTTCACTTGGCATACTAGTAATTTTCTGTTTGCAAGTACTATTACATTATATTGTCTTTGATTTGCCTGTGAAACAAGACCAGGAAGTTTCGGCATTCTTTTTAGACCTGAAGGCAGTGACAATGCATATGCATTTTCATCATTGAAATTTTGTTTGGAGTATCAATTCAACATTTATTGCAACATACTGAGCTTAAAATCTTGGTAACCGAAGCTTAATATTTCATCTTTAGTTACTAAAATCATCAGGAAATTGCAGTGGAAATGGTAAATTTTCAATTCTATCCAGTGATTTTTACAAATGGGTTTGGTCTGAGCTAAACTTGGACTATCTGACTAACAAATGGGTATTGTTAGAAGAGAAATTTAGGTTTCCTTTGAATAACTATAGGACATGAGTTGCTTCACACTTGGGTTCTGTCAGTATTGGAAGTGGATTTGGTGACTTGAATATGCTGAGTGTTAGATATGGGCTTCATCCAAGCTAAAAAAGAAGGTTTGCCCTGAATATGCATGACGGTTTTATCAGAGCTATACTAAACAGTTACTTTATATGCAATGGGCGGACTCTATCTGAGTTATTGGCTAGATCTGACCATGGCTTTGGGCTCCACATACATGTAAAATATTGACTTCATTTGCATCCGACTTTATGTCCGGATAATTGGGTTTCATCTGAGTTGAGATGGGGTGAAGTCGTCTATGTCCCCACACGGATCTCCGAGTTGACAAAATTCAAGAAATAGACTACCGTCACCTGGTAGTCTTCGAAGTTTCTGACTGTCTCTGCGATCAAGCTCAACACACTGACTTGGTCCAGCTGGGCTACTTTGTGTCATCATCCTTTTCAAGGGATCGCAAAATGTAGTACTGAGTGAGTTAGTGAATGAATTAGGTCAAATCAAACTTTGTTCACTGAAGTAGGTTTCACAGATGCATCATAGCTCTAATGAACGCAGCTGATTACATCTTTGCCAAAGATGTGATTATGATCATTACTGCGCTGTTCCACTGCGTCTATAAAAACTTGAGTAGTTGCGTATCGTAAAAATGAGTCTTTTGTTTCCGGCCTGCGTTGTTTTGATCCCTCTTTGCTTTATAGTTGCCTGTGTAGTTCCCCGCACCAAAGATCTACTCAAGTATAGCAAGATGTCCCCGAAAGAGTCTTTACAGGTCACACTCGGCGGACTGCTGGTATCAGTGCTTATCGCGACATTCGTCTATGCCGTTGGTTGCTTTCAGACCTTTCTTTACTGGCGTAGTAGGTTCAACGACCGGCTGGGCTTACGGATTCTGGTCTGTGTATATGGATGATTACTTATATTATCGTAAGCTAATGCTTTTTTCCGGGAAGGTCTGGGCGGTACTGTATGTGTCAGCCCAATATCGGTAATTGGACTAATCTAGACTGACTTTTTTATTGCAACCGTTCGCCTAGGCTTTTTGAAACGGCTCACTCGCTCTGTTTCTGGTTCTACTTATACACGATTGTGGTCCAGTACTATGGCGTTCGCGAAGAGCTGGAGAATCGACACTGGTCCATCTCCATATCTGTGGTCTTTCATGGACTAATTACTGGGTGTGTTCAGGTAAAACTTCCTATACTTCGTTATCCACCTCCTAGAATCTCATTTCTTCCTCCCGTGTAGGCATACTATTCCTATCGCGTATACGTGCTCTCCCGAGGACGCAAGTTCATTCCTATGATGTGCTGGGTTTGTTCTTTGATTGAATGCTGTGGCTCCATCGGAATTACGGTCATTCATTACCGCGTTGGGCCGGTGGTATTTGCAGCAAAATATGAACTGTTACCAACATTAATTATCATTCTGGATGTAGTCGTTGATGTGGTGAACACGACGACTTTGTGTTATTATCTTCATCAGCGTAGAACCGGTATTAAATCGTGAGTACTATACTAGTAATACAAGATGTTAATTCATAGATTGATTTTCGGGACTCTGTAGGACGGATCAGGTTGTCACCACTCTTATCGAGTGGAGTGTTGGTACAGATCTTCATTGGATATCTTCATGAGTGATCTCTGATCAAGGATGTTTCGCAGAAAGTGGTCTCATCACGGCGTAAGTTATGAGTCTGATTTCCTAAGTCTAGGCAGAAGATTCCAAAATTTCATTTATTCCTTCAATAGACTTGCCGCCGTAGGCATGCTCATTGCGGTAGGCTTTCATCCATTCATCCATATATCATGAGGCTCAACAAAACTAAACAGTGTGTAGTAACTCCAAATACTGGTGAGACTTTTAAACATCTTTGCTGTATCAGTAACTGAGCGAATGTTCGGATAGCCTTATTTCTTTCAATGACAACCTTTTATGCAAAACGTAAGTTTCGACAAGTCTCTCTGGCATGATCCAAGGATGCTCAGTCTTACCTCTATCATTGTCATTTGAGCCAGTCTACTCAAACTCGCTTCTTTCATCGTAAGTTTTGGCATACCAATGATTCAATGACCAGTCGTTTGATTTATTCTCAAAGTCTGAATGGGCGGGGACCTCTCAGTCCATTCAGAGCTCCACAGAATACTGCCAATAGCCATACAAATTTCGGGATAAAGATCACACAGGTGACCTATTCTCATCCACAAGTTATACAATTATTCACTTCTCTGCCAGACAACCGAAACTTCCACCTCCCCTATAGACCTCCCCTCATCAGCTCACCGGCCTAAAGACATTGGAATCAGAAATGCCAAGGCTTGGGCTGATACCCACGAGATGCAGTTCACAAACATCGTAGAACGAGACAGTGATACCATCGAGATGGCTAGTACTTGTAACGATGAACATCCAAAGGATGGATCGATCACCATAGTCTGAACGCTCAAAGTGTTCAAAAGCGATTTGTGATCTCTTAGTAAATATATATGCCTTTTTGTATTTATGCGACAGTTTGCAGCTTCGGTTGCCAAAATTATCACATTTGTTACTGCTCCTATTTCGACTTTTAAAAAGGTGCGGCTACAGCAATAAAAGCCACCAAGGAGCCTTCAACAAAATCTAAAATTTCATCTGACGGGTAGATACACCTATAAAATATACGGACCTCTGAAGCAGGTTTTAAGG